GAGAGAGAGAGAGAGAGAGAGAGAGAGAGAGAGAGAGAGAGAGAGAGAGGTGAAGGGCTACCAATATTAATTGCCCGGGTGTGACTCGGTGGGGGGCCTCATGGGGTCACATGGTCAGCGAGAGGTGTGCGGCAGGTGCAGCATTTTATGACGTGGCGTGGTCATGCATATATGGCGCCTGCTGCCTCCCGGCCAGGGACACGGTCGCACGCTGGGGTTCATTTGTCTCTCTCACTCTTTTTTTTTGCACCCGTGCCGTGCACGAAACGTGCAAAATGTTGGAGTGGTCGTGGTCAAGCCCCCAGCTCGGCCGGCCGGCGCCAGTCGCGAAAGTCCTTTCCTTTACCTTGCCCATGCCGCCGTGTGGTGTGACGTTACTTTCTTTTAGGCAATATGGCAAAGTTCATGGGGTATTTTTTCCTGTTCTTCGTTTTCCTTTAACTTTTGTGTTTGGTGAGGGTTATACCTAGGCTAGCAAGCTTTGCGGCGAGAAGAAATGGTCGGGTCATAATTTTAGTGTTTCGCCCTCCCATCCGTATCATATGTGTCCGGCGTGGCCTGGTCCTGGCCATATCGCAGCATCGCTATCCCGCCTCGCCAGAGAAATGTGTGTGGATTGGGATAGGGAAGGATATATTAGTATGGGAACCGCGGCGGGAACCGCGTCTAGCCAGGGACAGAGTGAGGAATGCTGGACAGTTGCACGACGAAAAAAAAAGTGCATAACTAGAGGATTGTTCGTAAAATGCCGCGTCTAAGACATTCACTGGACACGAAATAGTCCGAACGGAAATAGACGCGGAGTTCACTGATAAATGAAGTGTTCAAATGGCGTCACATGCAAGTGCGCAACACTATGTTGCACACTTTTAAGTGTTTGACTGAATATTTGAACACCATTCAATTTACTGTTTGAACACTTAAAAGTATTAAAATATCCAGTCAGACACTTACAAGTGTGCAACATAGTGTTGAGCACTTGCATGTGTAGTGCACGCCAGTTGAACATTTTAATTATCAATGTTATTTTTCAGTTAAAATGTCGCACACGTGCAGGTTGGAAAAAAACAACAACATTTACTCACCCCTAAGTGTGTGAATAGTCATTCACTTACTTGCAGGTGGGAAAATTCTGCCTCATACCTGCAAAAATACGAATTTATTCGCTCGCCTGTAGGTGTGCGATATTCGTGCGCTCAGATTTTCAGTTCAGGCATTCTGCGTTCTGTTCTGTTGTGCCACGTTCATTAATTATTATTTTTTTGCTGGCCGCAACCCAAATGTGCGGAGAGGTGTCTGGAACAACACGGGTGCGGAAGCGCAGGCGCACAGCACGCTTCCCACGTCCTGCCCGGCCCGAGGCCCGCCGGCGGCCCGCCCGGCCGGGGAGTTTCTCATAGGCACGCCTTAATCACGGTCCTCAGCGACTTCAATTACATTGGCTCGATTCAGAAACGGACGCTTCTGTTTTACTTTTGCTGCTGCTGCCGTTGTTCGGCTGCAGCTTTATTGGGTGTCAAATTCCAGCAAAGAACTGTTTTGCAGAACTGCGAAGGATTTTGATGCTTTGAAACTACAAAGTGATGCTTTGGCAATTGCGAAGCAATGCCAACAAGCTTTATCATGCTGCCAAGCACTCGGCCAAGCACCTGTTGGCAATTGCAGCAAAATAAATGCTTCGTACAAAGGATGAAAATCCTTTTGGAGTGTACTTTTCAGATATAAGTCTATTGCATTCCAACATTAGAGCACTTTTGTTTTAAGACACTTTAAATTTTAGCACCCTGAAAAGACATTGAGACCATTGAGACCCACCTTTTACTCCATTGCGCACAAGAGTTATCACAAGCGCTAGTAAAATCGAATTTTTTATAGACTTAGTATTATTTGAAGTGTATTACAGAATGTAACGCACTTTAATTATTTGTAGTGCGGCGAGTTTCATTCAGTGGCAGCGACTCAGCCACTACTGTGTATCCATCAGAAGCACTCCAGATAGGAGGCCGAAACGAAGAATCATTAGCCCATTCCACCCGCTACACCTGTTTACTTTCCTCATCGCTAATCCCCGTCGCACGTTTTTCACCGCCAGCCTCACGCCTCCTAGCGCCGCGCGGGGGTTCCGTGCCGGCGCTCCTCCACCGCGCCCCGCCCCGCGCCTGGCACCGGCCTATAGCCTAGAGGACCCGCGAGCAGAGTTCAATCATGTGATAGCATCGATGGTATGGATGGACAACAACAAAAAAAACGTATCACAAACCTGACCCAGTTCAACATGATTTCTGTTGATGAAAACCTCCATCAATCGGCACGCCCACCACAGAGATAATCAGCAGCTCCTCCTCATCTGCCTCTTTGTGGCTCAGACTGACACAACGCGGCCGTGGCCACGGCAGGATGAGAAATTAAACGGAACACTTACCGTAGCGAAGAACCCCGGCGCGGTCGGCGAGGGCCCCCCCTGGTCGCGTGGAATCCGCCCTCTTGTCACTCTGGCCACCTGAACAAGGGGGGAACAACGCATTAAAATGACGTGAGAAGAACGCTCTGCGCTCCCGGCCGGAGGGGGGCCCGGCGGCAACTATTTGTTGCCTAATTAGAGCTCGGATTCTTATTCCTCTGCGAAGTTGGCCCCCCTGCGCGGGCCGTGCGCGCGCGCTCCCGACCAGGCGCAGCGGTCGGTAACACTTGGCGGTCGCATTCCACAGGGGTGATGAATTTCAACAGATCCGACCGGAGCGGGGCGGTCAGGAGTAACAACGGCGCAGAGAGCTTCACTAACTCTTTTCCTGCCGATGCTGCCGCTGCTTCTGCTGCGGCTTTGAATTTAAAACTAAGCGTCCATCCGTTCCGTGTCTCGAGCGAATAGAAAGGCGGAAGAGGCGGCGCCGGCGGCGTCCAGCGATACAGACAGCTGCTCCGCGCATCGGCGACGCGATCGATCAAAACGACGGGAAAAATGTAAGCGTTGACCGGACGGAGATGCAAAGCTTTCGGAGTGTGCAAAATTATGTACGCGCAAAGAAAACCCAACCCACGTACTCAAGTCTGTCAGAGGGCCCTCGCATGTGCGAGGCATGCTGCTGCTACTACAAATTAAATCTGAAAGGAAAGCGAGGAGTCACATCGAGAAGAAAAGGGGTGACTTTTTGTCACACATTTGCGCACATCTTCCTTTGCATCTATGAGATTTGTAGTAAGTAACTGCTCCGTGGTTGCATGTCTTGCGCCGGGACCCTCTTTTAGCATGTTTCTATGACTTTCCCCGGTGCTAATGAAGTGCGAGCTAATGTATCAATGATTCTTCCTCGACTGCGCTGCTCGCCGCCGCCCCCTAACCGCTCTTCCTGTTCCCCATCTCTCACGACGCTCCCCCTCGGCCCGGGGGGCCCGGGCCTCTGTTCCCATCGTGGCTAAGTACTGTTAAAATATTGTTCCCATATTACGAGTTTTCATATGGCGACAGTCTCGTTCTCGTTTCGCTTCAATTACTTCACTCCAAAACAGAGCTTTCTTGTTTCCCATAGCACGACGATTTTGACAGACAAATCGACACGTGTCGTACTACGGTACGACCGCGTAAGACACAGACAACAAAAGCTGTCTTAAAATTACGACAAAAACAAGAACAGTGCGGACCGGGGAGGGGGGGGGGGTCTCCCTTATTATCGCTCTTTAGGCCCGTTTTTCACCTCGGATCACCGTTCTGCTGTGCTACACATTCCAGTTCCAAGTTTCGGCCAATAGCACGGCACACTCGTATAATCACAGACGCTGCCGATGCCTCGCTACACTCTCATTATTTTAACGATCGATTTTTGGACGCAGCAGCGGGGCGGGGCGGGGCGGGGTGGGGCGAGGCGGGGCTGTCCGTCCACACATTAGGCGAGCAAGGTGTGGAAACAGGCGCCTGGGAATCGAGATTGGAGCCGATAAGAGGGGTGGCTGAAATGGAAGACTAGTGCACCACCGGCCAGATTCTAGAAAAACAGGGAAAAGAGGTTGAGAGGAATAGTATCAATTCAAAGAAAAAAAAACTAAAAGGGACCGAGAGGGCCGCGCTAACAGGAACGAGGAACGCATCCAGACAGACACAAAAAACCAAAACAAAAAAAACTACTCACACACACGAAAAATTATACGTGCAGAGTTAAGATTAACGGGGTGCTACAACGGATTACATTATTCTAATATAGGTGGCGGCGCTTTGACGCCTGTTTTGGGCAGGGCGGCCGCATTAAGGATAAACGCGGTAACAGGTAGCGCTGCGATGACGCCTCGTCACCAGGTGCTTAAGGGACCGCCTGCTTGTCCGCATCAACAAGGCTCACATTTCTCGCACGGGCATGAGGCGGTGCCGCCGAAACGCGATCTTCGCAGATAATAATAGTACTTTTAAAGATGTTCGTTACGTACACTTGGCGTACAGACAGAGTATAAATTGAGAAGGAGAGCGAGGGAAAAAAACGGGACACCTTGCACCCAAAATAAATGTGTTCTCAATTCATGTATTGCTCTTAAAATTTTGAGCCCCATTTCTTGTTTTAAGGAACAAATAAGAATTAAAACAAGAAATGGGACTCAAAATTTTAAGAGCAATACTTGCATTGATAACATTTTTTGGGGTGTGGATCTTTGTTTGAAAAAAAAGGGGGGGTTGGAGAAAAAAGGGGGATCCTTAATGCTCTGCTATGAGCATGTTAGGGCAGGAGATTCGCTCGTTCGATTGGACGTCTTAATAGAGGCGTTGTCAATCCCTCTCAGCTGACGCCGTGACTAAGAGAGACGTGCAGGAGGAGAGAGGTGACCGGGGAGACGGGCAGCCAGCAGGCATTCAATTTGGGCGGGGCAAAGCGAAATGAAGCCAAGATTACAAGTCTGCGAAGGAAGAGGAGTAAAAGCTCTCATTGTAGGAAGGGTTGGGAAGCCCGCAAGAAACAGTTTCTTAGGCGTCCGAGACGCAGGTGTACGAGCAATAACGAGAAAACATGTCAAACATACTCGGTATGTTGCGTGGCGTGACCACGAGGTGGCCATACACTGATCACATAAGAGACTATCCAGAAAGTGCGCCCGTCACGCGCTGTTACGAAACTGCCAAGAAGCTGTCATAGCGCCTGATAGGCAGGCAACATCTCGCCTTCAACGCATGCGTGTACGGCGGGGTGGCCTACCCCGAGTCTCGCAGGCGCTCAGCTCGCGCGTAAATTTGCCGAATGAGAAATAAATAATAAAACACACACCGAAAACCAAAGTGTGTGCATTTAAGATGTGTGAGCGACATTCGTACACACACATGGTGTCACGAGTGTGCGAATTTCAAAAGGAAAATTCAAGCCAAAGTCAAATAACGCGGGAAATGACAAAGCGCCGCACTCAACGTAGGTGACAGATGCATTTCCGCAGTTCACTTCAGTTCCGTCAGTTCATGTCGCGCGCGTCTCTCCTCTGCTCTGCCCTGCTCTCCCCACATCACATGCCGCTGCACTTGTTTGTTTGTGTCGCGCCGTGGCCGGCTGGTCGCGTGCTGCGGGCGGAGAGTGTGAAGGTGGGGGCGCCTCCTCTCTCTCTTACTCCCTCTCTCTTTCTGTCGTCCCTCCCCCTCTCTCTATCTGCTGCCGCCCCCTCCCTCTCTCTCTCTCGCCCAAGTGTTTTGCCGGCGACCTCCTGGGTGCGCTGGGCTCCCGGTCCATCGCAGGGGTGGGGGGCGACCCGGCGCCTTTGCCCCGCCACGCCGTGCGTAGCCCCCTCTTAAACTACTTCTCCCTCTCTCCCGCACTCGCTCCCGCTCTCCGCGGTGTGGTGGCCGCGCGCGCAGCGCATGCCCTCTGGGCGGGGGAGGCGTCCGCAGAGCGCTTCGAGTCCCCCCCATGCGAAACAAACGACGCCTTCGGACGCCTCCCCCCGCGCGCTCTCCTCCACCTCTTCCCTGCTCCTCGTCAGATGGGGAAGGGAGGGGGCCAAGGGCCCCGGGTGGGGGGGCAAAGGGAATGAATGGGAAGGGGTGGCGAGGGTGAGGGGGAGGAGTGGAAGGGGCACCGAGATGAGGCGCAAAGGTACGGCGTCGACGTGGGAATGAAGGCCCTCCTCCCGCGAGGAGATCATACACAATGAAGAGGGCGGAGATGGTCCCCGCGACGGCGGCGCCAGCTCCTGACGGCACGACGACTCTGTTCCGGCCGCGGGCGTAAGAGAGGTAGTGTCCGGCGGCACACATGTGTGATGCGGGCGCTCCTTCCTGCCGGTCGAACAGCGCAGCGCGCACAGTTTAAGGCGCCGGTTTAAGGCGCCTTTATGAAAATGGGATAATTTTATTGAAAGAAAAAACATGTTTGCTCTATTCCATGGTACTTCACATTCTAAGCGTAAGCAAAAATTTCGGCCGTAAATAGGGGGGATATGACGGACTCATTTTACTCGTAAAATCACTGGAAAAAACAAAGGGTTTACAAAATTTTGCAAAGGCACAAAACTCCATCACCTTGAGGGCAAGCTGCGTTAAGAAAAAGCTCAATATTTAGCACCTCTGAGGCACTAAAATGATTAGCAACCATAAAAAGGTGCTAAACGGTGCCGAGTCGTGCCTTTATTTTCCCATGCAGTTTTGACGTCTGCACCAGCGTAATAAAAACTAAGGACACACCTAAACAAAGATATATAAAAACCAATGGCGAGATGAACAAGTATTAATGAAATTATAGGACTATTTATGAAATATTAATAATAATAAGAGCGGAATGCGACCTCGATGTCGTGTGAGCGTCGGGATGGTAATAGCGTGCACCTCACAATAGCT